ATCTCAGTGGTTCTGCCACTTGCCTTGCAAGTGCAAGGTCCCAAGTTTGACCCTGGTACCAAAATCAAAAAAATGTATATATATATTTCATATATATATATATATATATATATATATATATGAAAAAAATATATACAAGAAAGGGCTTGATTGTCTTTGGATGACATTTAATCTTTTAACATGATCATTATCCTTTGAAGACATGAAGATTTTTAAAAAGTTATTTTATATATTTCTTTTTTTTTTCAGCTTTGAGTTTATTGGTACATTTTAGGGATACAGTACAGTTACATTCATTGTTGGGAATTTGTACCTCTACATGACATGTCTTGGTTTTCATTTTTTCCCCTTGTCCCTGCCCTCCCTTTTATATATTTCTTAAGTAATGCATTAATTTTAGAAAACATAGGAACAATGGGTTTAAAAGAAGTAGGAAAGAGCAATAATTATAATCAGGAGATAATCATTACTAATATTTGGGTTGTGCCTTGAATCAGATTCCTTTTATGTTTTCTGCATAGTTAAACTAAACACCGAACATATATTCACATGGTGGTATTTGTATAACAGCAATTCATAAATGAGCAGAATCTAATGAGAAACTGGTTTTTAAGCATTTTTACTTCTTGTACCTACTGTCCCTCTCCAGAGTCTCAAAGAATTACAAACACCTGGCAATCCACATGGGTAAGTTGGAGCTCCTGCGTATGAAGACCTACTATGTGTTAGGTACATTGCTGCTTGATGTACTTCATCTTAGATATTCCTCACAATGACTGCATTTTACCGAAGACAAAACGTTATCTCTTACCTGTTAAGATTACAAATGATCTTTATTCTATTGAAGGAGAAAGATAATCCATACAGGAAGTTAGTGCTTCCTTTTAGAATCTTATCTTTTGCTTTTGAAGCCATGTCTTACATGTTTTTCTCAAGGAAAGATCAAGGAGAGGGCACCAGCCTGCCGTATAGAATGAGTGTCTACTTCTGTACTGTTCTTCACGAGTCAAGCAGAGAAAGAATAAGGGACACATCTTGACATTGTTAGTAATCAGCTCGAACTGGCGAATAATTTTGTGATTTACAACTTTTAAAGTTTGTGATGGAGAGGAAGATACCGAAGGCATGAACTTCTGAGGAAACTTGAATGTGACTGCTGGTGACCTCAGATTTGGGTGGGGCCTGACCCCAGGTACTTGCTTTCCCCTCACTTCTTCATCCCTTCCTTCTTTTATCTGTCAGTTCTCTCACCGTGGATATGTACAGAAGGCTCATGAATTCTGACAGTAGGGCTGGAATCCTTGAGATGTAGATAAAACTTTCCCGCAACTCTATTTCACACCCTGCGACCTTTTAAACTCCTCTTCGTGACTTCAAAGTCTTACTTCCTTGGACTCTGCCTTCTTGACTCCATTCTTCATCATTCCTAACACAGAATTCCATGTAGTTCTCTCCTTTCACAGGAAATACAATTACTCATATTTTGGATGCCCGCTGACTCTGCTGAGTACTAGAGGTTTTCATAGAAGAGACTTAACTCACTCCTACGTGCTTGTTCCCGTCTCGAAGGCCACGGTTTTCACACAGGAAGAGTAATCTTATTTTATTCCCCAGCAGCCACTCTGCTTTGTCCAATTTCCCTAGAATTCTGATAAATTAAAGTTTTTCTCTCTTGTTACATTAAGCCCTATAAGGTAGTTTTAAATATTTTCCTATAAAGCAACAAATAAAAGGAGCATGGGCCCTTGGGAGTGTCAGCCTCTGGGCAAGGTGATGTTCTTGTTATGCTTTGGTCAGTTAGCCTCTTGTTCTGTAGCCACAGGTTATACCCCTGGTCGCATGGAGACACCTTACAGCTGTGTCCCACTCATCTCAAAGGGGACAAAAAGTGAACACAGTTAAACCACTGTGATTTCCTTAGTCCAGGCATGTTCCGTGGTTAGAAAGTGGTCAACAGCCAACTCCTCTAACAGGAAGAATAAATTTTCATGTTGAGAATGGCAGAATGCACCCACACCCTGTGCACACCTGTAAACCACCTGTTAGTAAACCTCCATTTATCCCCTGAGATAACTTCCACTCCAGGGAGGTACAGGAAAACCAGTAAAATTTAACTAGATGTAAATGAAAGCAATAGGGTGGAGTTGACAGTCCAGAAATATTCAGCTCAGTAATGAACAGTGAGCTCTCCACTCCAGCTAGTGTGGCACCTGTCTCTCCTTCGGTGCCAGGTAAATGGAGGATTTTCTCGGTTTTTGTTGTTGTCTCTAGCAGTGATGTTTATCACACTGTGCATAAACATCTAATTTTAAATCAGATGTACCAGTTATTTTATATGATAACGAAACAAGACAACATAACTCAGATGGTGATCAAAAAATCCTGTTTATTTTCATTAGAAAAATGCAGATGCCCAATTCCTGCCCCAAGCAGTGTTTTTAATATGGACAATAGTGTGAAGTAGCAACAACTGCCATGGTTTTATTTAGTATGGTTTGGCACCAGCTCCTCTTTACTCTGATCAAGCCTTTTAATTAAACTGACTACTATAATTCCTATGGAAATTAGTGTTTATGTTATTTTCCTGCTACAAAAGCATTTCTCTAGAACTTATTTTTTTTTTAATCCCAGGAGCACAAATGGAATTTTTTCTGCTTGAAATGTAATTAAAAACTCATTTGATTACAATATTTCTGGCTCTGTTTTACTTATTAAATTCCTGTAATCAGTTTTCTTTTATGAAGCTGCTGGGAAATGATCTCAAAAGCAACACATTTTTCTCTTCCTTGGCAGGTTCCCGAGCATTTACTAAATTACATTCCTAGCACCTGCCCATGATTCGAGTTACTCCACCAATTTATTCCTTAAACCATGTAAGTTTATTTGGCTTCGCCCCAAACAGCTTTTTTCCTTTATCCTTGTTCTTTGTTCTCCCTTTTGTTTCTTTTGTGTTGAATAAAATCATGAGGAAGGGGCATATCTTTCTCAGAATTCCTTCCTTCTCTTTGTGTTCTATTCTCCCAAAACAGAGTTGCCACGTCAGAACATCATTTTCTTCTGGCCATGTAGTGGTTCTAGGCGAGGGTAACAAAAATCCTGTCTTGAGGAGGAGTTATTCTTGCCCCATATATTTGTTGTATAAATGTATTAGCTGAGAGAATATGGAACTCTTACAAAGCAAAGGGCTATCCATAACCCGAAGCCCGGGTTTTATTGTGATTTCATGCAGTGCCATCTGCAAGAGAACTGCTTCTAACACACACCAAGACAGGACATTCTCAACAGCT